AGACCAAGGCCCCGTTTGGACAGCCGATGCAGGCCGCGGCAGCCAGTCGGCTGTTCAAACGGGTCGTCGTTTTCCCTCCAAACATCAAACGGCCCTCTGGCCGTCGATCATGGATGATCGACGGCCGGAGGGCCGTCACAATTTCAAAAAAAAAAAGCTGGYCTCACGGGCCCGACTCGCCTTTTTTCAGGCCTGGTCGGACCCGGTAGGCCCTGGGGACCCCAGCTGACGGCGATTCGGGGTCTGAACCCCCCCCCCCGACAAGGTGTGCTGGGGGTGCCCGGCCCCCAACCAGGCCGCCCGGGACCTCCCCCGGGCAGGCGCTGGTCGACCGGGCGGCCCGGATCCGTACTCAGATTTTCAGTGCTTTGTCGGCGAACAAGTCTGGGAATAATCCACACACGATATTGGGAAACGGGCATGTAAACTTATGGGCCTCGCTCACAGTACTCTGACCAAATGTGCAAAATGATACTGAATCTTCCACTAGAACATCGGAAGATACACCGCCATGTCTTTTGTCTTTTCTGCATTCTGAGAGTAGTGGAGCGAGGCCCTATGTGCCCATTTCCCCATATCATGTGGGGCCCGTGTCAGTGTAAAGTACCATGGGGCCATCAAACCTTTTATGTTGTGCAGGCATGGGTTAAAAAAAAGGGGGGGATAATATGGGTGGGTCCATCAACCCTTGTAATGGGACCCATGGCAGGTCCCATTAGAAGCTGAGGTCTCTCCACACATATTCACACTCCCATTGCACTGGCAATAGAGGTTTAAATTTAAAAAAAAAAAAAAAAAAAAAAAAGGGGCCAATAAGGGTGGAGTCAGCTGCGAGGTGGAAGGGATACATTTTTCAAGAAAAGAAAATTGAAAACAACGGAAAACAAGGTCACAAAATTCCCATTGAACAGGCCCCGAGTTAGGCTCAGATGCTCTCCATTGGTGCTATGTTCATGCTTAAAAAGCATGAACTTGGCCGGAACAGTGGTGAGGTTCGTACTATCTTAGCATGAACATAGCACCAGCGAGGCCTGGCCCTCAGTCTCTAGGTCCTGCTTTCTGTCTAAGCCCCGTAGGGACCTACCGTCTCCCCCGTCGAACGGCGTGCACTGTTGCGATAGCTGTATTGGGGCGAACTTTCAGTCTAAATGCAGTGACAATGTCCGTACATTATATTAGACAGAAGGGAAGGGACCGTAAACTAGTAGGCTCTCTGGGTCAGACGAACCCCAACCAGCGAGTCAAAGAACCATCCAGAAGCAAATTAAGTTTAATTAACCCCCCACCACGGCCCCCCCCCCCAAAAAAAAAACACAGATAGCGGAGGCATTCAACTCACTGGTTGGATACCCCAGACCTAGGAGTGCTAAATCTCAGGCACAGTCCAACCGGGTGGTCAAGGAACTCTCCAGAAGCAGACTTAACCCCAAAAAAAAAAAAAAAAAAAAAAAAAAAAACACCAGACAGCAGAGGCATCCGACTCACTGCTTGGATAGCCCAGACCTACCATATTCCCCCAAAACAACGCACCCTGATAATGAATGTAATAAATTAATAATGTATAGAAGCTAGGTTTCCGGTCCGGTGCAGCCAAAATGAGGGTCCGTTGTGTTCAGGGGAAGACAGTACGATCGTTTGCTGTGCAAAGGCATATTCCAACCAGTGAGTCAAAGAACTCTCCAGAATCAAAATAACCCACAGATAACAGAGGCATCCGGCGTATGGCAGACAATTATTTATAGTTTTTGACTTAAGTTTTAACTCAAGTTTGGTTAGGAATTCTGACATGACTCTGAGGCAAAAGTGGTTTGCATTGTTATTCTGCATAACATACTTTTTTAAGTTTTTTTTCAGATTTTTTTTTTTTTTATGGTCCGGACATTTCCGGACCTGTCCAGACGTCCGGACCGTCCGCATCCCCCATGTCCGGAGGTCCAGAAATGTCCGGACGTCCGGAAACTGCCGGACACGGGCCCGGTTCCATGTCCGGAAATGTCCAGGTCCAGGTCCGGCGTAGCCATGGAATTTATACAAGCTAGGTTTCCGGTCCAGTGCAGCCAAAATGAGGGTCCATTGTGTTCAGGGGAAGACAGTACGATCGTTCGCTGTGCAAACTTGCAAAGGCATATTCCACCAGAGAGTCGAAGAACTCTCCAGAGGCAAAATTTAACCCACAGATAGCAGATCATCCACTGTATTGCAGACGAAGTTTCCGTACAAGACCCGGCCCCACTGGTGGGGGGCAGATTGCCCCCTGTTCAGCAGAGGCCTTCAGCTATAGCTGGAGGGCCCTGGACTTATACAAACAAAAACAAAACAGAAAAACAAACAACAGAACCAGTAAAAAAGAAATAAAAAAAAACACGAAGAGTCAGTCGATTGGCACGAAATTGAAAAAAATAATAATAATAATAATTTTTTTTTTTCTTTAAATGACAAAATGTACTTACAAGAATAGCCGGTTGCAGTCAATATTGGCACAGTTCCGATGCCGGGCAATTTCCACGGGACCCCTGCAAACGTGGCACCTCACATCCTCGTCTCCCTCCAGCTTATCGATCTCCTTCAGCACCTCAGCGATGTTCTCCGGGACATCATCATTTGCTTCTCTGTCACGACTTTCGATCTCTGAACTCTGCTGCAGTTTGTACATGTCAGGTTGGACTGACAGCCGAGCGTCGAAAACATACAGATTGCCCTTCCAAAGTGAAGGATTCTCTTCCTTCAAGTAGTTTGCGACTCCCCCCTCAAGTGCATAAAGATTTTGAAAACCGCGTTCCCTGCAAGAAACGAAAAAAGAGGGAAAAGTATTAACAGAAATTAAAAAAAAAAAAAAAAAAACATGCACATGCACATGGTGCAAAACACACACACACACACACACACACACACACACACACACACACACACACACACACACACACACACATGTGCACGCATACATGTACATAGTACATACTCTGATAAGCACTGAATGATGAGCAGGCATCAGGCAGATGCCCAACAGCAGGTCGCTGGTTTGACTCGCAAACAAGCGGTCGTGAACACTGGATACAGAGACCCAACAGGCCTGAGCACACAATCACCTAAAAATCACCTTTTTCTGCAGGTTCAAGCAGTGTTGTTCAATCTTGCCAGGGAAAGTCATCTCTTCTTCTCATTGGGCGAAGTGAAAGACGGATTAGGATGTGTAAGAGGCCTGCCTGCTTCTCATATAGCTGCCGCAAAGGGGAAACGAGACAATGGATCATCCTTAACATCCCCCCAGCGATGCAAGGCAGACAGGGTAATACCAGAAGAGTGAACAGAATGCCCGGTCACTATAGACGTAGGGTGGAAGTCGCACTCTCAATCCCGGTGCAGCAATAATGACCAGACAACGGGCATTCTATTCGGGTGAAGACTGTATAGGGCGGAAGTCGCACTCACACTAAGGAATCTGGAAAAAAAAAAAAAAAAAAAAAAAATCAGAAAAATTAGGATACTGGACAGGGAAAGTCAAATCGGTCAGACTACCGACTTAAGAAATCAAGGCCCATGAAATTGAAGCAAAAAAAAAAAAAAAAAAAGAGAGAGAGAGAGTTCAAATTTGAGACGGCACTTGCAGACTGATCTTGAGCATTAAGAAACAGCGCACTAAAACAGCGATTACAGGCCGAATACAAGTGTCTGTCCGAGCATATACCCTGTCAGACTCTGACAGACACTTGTAGACAGAGGAAATAACCTGTCAGAATCCCCGTGCAGCAATTTCTCTGTCAGAGCATATACCGTGTCAGACTCTGACAGACACTTGTAGACAGAGGATATAACCTGTCAGAACTCCCGTGCAGCAATTTCTCTGTCAGAGCATATACCCTGTCAGACTGATGACATACAGCGACAATGACTGCGCATTCTATTCGGGTGAAGACGGTAGATGTACTGGGGCACACCTTCGCATCGTCCAATAAAAATACTGGAAACAGAGAGTGCCCACTATGTAGTCGAAAGCAGGGATCATGGAGCATGGAGGGCGGACGTACCTAAGCATCATCGAATAGACATACCAGGAGTCAGATCCTAGGTCTCAAAAGACAGCAGACATACCTAAGCATAATCAATTTATACCATTTTATAGCTGTGTACCGGGAAATACTAAAATAGTCCTTATCGATTTGTAAATGCTAACGTGGCTAGAGCTGCTATATATCTTCTAATTTCTAAACGATTTGGGTGTTACGTTGCCGTAAACGCCGTACAACTAAAAGTAGAAGAGAGCCGTAGAAACACTTCAGCATCATTGAATCACAAATAGAGATCACCATCATCAAACATTATGAATATAGTACAATATAGACACTGGAGAAAGGGAGTTGAGTTTTGCTTGGGTGATAAAATAGGCATATACCTAAGCATTGTCGAGTAGACATCGCAGCGGATTCCCCCTGTGCAATACATCAGCACATCTGTGTTCTCCTTGTCGATCCCCGCCAATGGGTCGGATTCCCCCTGGCAGCAATTGAACCAATAGGCCCGTTCGTCAGAATTGCCAGTGAGAGTGAGACAGATTAAAATTTAAAACTTATATATAGTCAAACAGAAAACTTATACATATTAAATTACGCAACAATGAAACCGAAAAAACTTGAAAAAAACAAGTGGGTGAAAGACACTGAAAGGCTCAGTCTGCACAACCTTTTAGGAGGGAAAAAAGAAAGAAAAAGAAAAAGAAAAAAGAAAGAAAAAGAAAAAGAAAAAAGAAAGAAAGAAAGATATTGTTGCCATCTTAGGAAAGGACCGCAAGAAACGAGGGGGGGGAAGAAAACACTGAAAAAAAGAATCTGAGAAAGTTATAAAAGGCCAAACAGAAAAACGGCGTTGGGGCACACTGTCCCACCGCCATAAGCGTCTTCACCACTCGTCGGGAAGCTGAACCCATGCCCTCCCCTCCTTCCCTGCCCTTCACAGTTTGCAGATTGCAGAATGATTTCTCTACCTACTGATGGCTTGCCCTCCGGACAAACTCAGACCTCATGCACCTCTCTCTCTCTCTCTCTCTCTCTCTCTCTCTCTCTCTCTCTCTCTCTCTCTCTCTCTCTCTCTCTCTCTCNCTCTCTCTCTCTCTCTCTCTCTCTCTCTCTCTCTCTCTCTCTCTCTCTCTCTCTCTCTCTCTCTCTCTCTCTCTCTCTCTCTCTCTCTCAGAGTTTCCAACCTGCACAAAGCAACAATTCAATTAACAGAACTGACAAAGAAAAGGTCACACGAGCACAAGAATGAACACTGTTGAAATCTCGCCGGGGTTGTCTGGGGCCTTGCCCGGATCTTGCCCGGACCTTTCCCAGCCAGGCCGCCCAGGCAGCCCGAGGCAGACAGGGCGACCTGGCAGGTAGTCCTTTTTTTCCCCTCCCCTTCTCTTTTGTTAAGAAGGATGGTGTCCTCGAGATACTATCATTGAACTGGACAGCCGCAGGTAATTCAGAACAATTTTTATTGAAATTTATTCTGTTCATCTGATTGCTTATGGATTCGAACTTGGGTCTGTATTTCAACAGTTCATGGGTGAAACGAACTGTGACCTTTGCACAGGCTTGCAGGTCCGTCATACATTTAAATGCCCTACCTACCCTAGGTTGCTTTTCACCCCGCATCCTCAAATAATGAGTTGAGACTTTCGTGGATTGTTCTTGCTTCTGCGGGAAGTTCTGCCTGATATCCTTTCATGGACTGTTCTTGTTTCTGCCTGATGTGACTGACAAGTGGGGCCGAAGGAAGATAGCGGCCGGGAGCAGGGGTCGAAAGATGATGGGAGAATGGTAGAGGAAGACAGGCGGAGGGGGACAGGCGGGGGAGGAGGTGGAGGAGGATATGGAGTGGGGTAAGGTGGGGTGGCGTAGGGGGGAAGGGACAGCAAAGGAAAGGAGGAGATGGATGCTGATGAGAGGTAGGAAAAGGACACACAAGGGAGGCAGAGGAGGAGAGGAGGAGACAGGGAGATGCCTAGATGGGACGATGTGGAAACGAGGGGAAGCAAAGGCGGGGGGAAGCAAAAGATACATGGGAACAGAAAGAGCAAAAGGCAACGCACGACAGGTGGCAGCATGAAGCGGAAGAGGAGAATAGGCATGACAGGATAACAAAGGAGAAGGTGGCGAAGGAGGACAATCAATATGTAGAGGAGGAGGAGGCAGAGGAGGAGGAGGAGGAAAAGAGGAGAGAGGTATGAGGTCAGCACACGTGACTCACAACGAGAAAACTGCACGGATGTGGGAGCAAGAAGGCAATCCAATTCACTCTGGAAACTGTCAATCAGTCGGTTCTCAAGAAATGTGAATCAGTTTCTCAGAAATGAAACTAGTCTGACACATGAACGTGAACAGTTCAGAAATGCAACAAGTTTAAAAAGAAGAATAACTAAATCATCAGTCTAAATCTGAATAGGTCAGAACGACTCAGAAGTGAAAAGAGAGAGAGAGAGAGAGAGAGAGAGAGAGAGAGAGAGAGAGAGAGAGAGAGAGAGAGAGAGAAAATCAGACAGAAATGAAACAAGGCTGGGGAAAAAAAAAAAAAAGAAGTAAATGAGAATCGGTCGGAAACAAAGAACCAACCGACCTTTGCTACACCAGTACCTCTTCAGCGGCGTCATCCAGACCAAACTTGGTGCTCCTGAAGCAATCGACAGGGGGTCGAACTGCGCCCTTGAAGTGACCTAGATCCCATTCGTACCCTTTTGAAGAAGAAAAAAAAAATTGAAGTGTTTGTTAAAATTTAATAAACATACGGATAAGTGCCAGGCAGCACAAAGCAACAAAAGCACAGACAGGTCAGATGCTCGTTACCTGCCACCATATCTTTCTTTGTTTCCTTTTTTTTTCTTTTTCTTTTTTTTTTGGGACCATTTCTCGATTTATGCATGCCATCCTTACTTGCACAGGGGCCATGCTAATTAATCTTCTTTCCCTGTATCGTTCCAGTTTTAACGGATGTTCCGAAGGACATCTTTCTTTGTTTCTATTTTTTATTTTTTTCTAACTTTTTCCGCCACGTCTTTTCATGTCTCGTGTTATCGAAGTTCGAACTTTGAACACATTTTTCCACTGCCAGATGTCCTCCTTTCCTCTTTCCTTTTTGCTTTTTCTATATTTTCCAGTTTGTTTTTCTTTGTTTTTCTCTTTCCTTTTTGCTTTTTCA